CAAAACATTCCTACCTTCCAATTTTTTGACATTTTCACCTTTAATTCCATCTTTTATTGAGCAAAACGTCATTTTCATTCAAATACTCCATTAAGTGAACACTACTCTGTCCAATGGGAAGGGTATTCTCATTTTCACACAATTTTTACCTTCTCCTCTCCACGTCATCTGTGAAATCACGTCAAAGAACCACCAAAGGAAGCACATAAAGATAATCAAGTATAGAACTAACCATCTGATTATCAAACAAAACAAACTGTGTCAAATTGTTACATTTCGCAAAAGTATCATCAATATTCAAAGTGAGAAAATTATGGTCAAGCTCAATCTCTGTAAGTGAAATAGCATTGCAGAGCTCTTTAGGAATCTCACTAGTCGACAAATTGCTGCCCAAACTTATGTGACTCAACAGAAAACAATTGCCAATCTCAACTGGTATTCGCTCCGAAAATTGATTGTTCGGAAGCAATATAGAATCTACCTGGTTCCATCTGTCAAGCCAAAAAGGCAATGGACCTAAAAGCTGGTTCTTTTCGGCAGAAAACGTCATCAATGGCTACTTCGATAGCTCTTCGGGCAAATCCCCTAAAAGAGAATTGGAATAAAGAAGTAAAACTTTTAAGTTTCTACACTTGCCAAGCTCAGAAGGTATGGTACAATTAAGATTTCAATTTTGGCGAGGAGGGGAGAAGGGGAAAATTGTGGGAAGACGAGAAAGACCTTCCCTTTGGACAAGAGTAGTGTTCGCACGTTTAGGATTTGGATGAAAATGGATCAAAAGGTTGTTTTGCACAATAAAATGTGAAATTAAGGGTAAAAAAGTCAAAAATTAAAAGGTACGAACGTTTTGCACAATAAAAGTGAAATGCGTAAATGTTTTCTGCTAATTACCCTATTTAAATTAATAAAATTTTCAATTATACTGAATTCACATCGATAAGTTACAATTATTGAGAGATTATACGAAAAGAAAGTGTACCACCATCGGCGTCAAGGAACGCAACTTTACGTAAGCCCCTTGACCCAATCGCAGTCGCAGTTTGCCCAATTTCGACCGCACATTATAAATATTAATTCAAGTTTGAGTTGTAATTTCCTTTCCATTGTAATAGTTATTTCAATTGTAGAATAGTTTTAATATTGGTAAACGTTTAGTATGATTCCTTTTTATTTAAACGTCTACTCATATCACTTAGATTTTTGTTCCGCAAGCTATTATATGGGGTATTAGTCTTTCAAACAATTTTTCAAGCTTTCTGGCGTTCGTTCCATGCACTAGCCATTGTGATGTCCTGCTTTTATCAATTGTAATTTCTAACTTTCAAGCAATCAATGATTAATTTACTTTCAATGTATTTTACAAATTGTAATCAAATTTTCTTTTATCCGGAAGGTAGTCTATCGGAGCAAATTACTGCCGCACAGTGTCCCTTTTTATGCTAAGAAGAAAAGCACCTCGTGAAAGTTGGTATCAGAGCTGCGACTCACGTCCCTCGATAACAAAGCTATGCAAGTTATGGATCCAATTAATTTGAACACCACGAAAGTCGTAGATCCTCAAAAGAGGAATACGAAACAATGCGTGTATGCGCTTGAGATGACAACTACTAGGTTGCGCTATGCCGTAGATGGCCTCGAGGAAAAAGTCGAGGTGGCGAGATGGAAATTCGTGAATTATACATCCAACTGGATGAAAGTCGAAGGGTTTGTACAACAATGAATGAAGTTGTTGCTATCCTACCCGATCTTCAGAATGAAATGGAAGCGTTGAGAGCTCAATTACTAGTACTTCAACGTGCGGTTGGCAATGGGCAAGCCCCCGTACAAGAGCATGTTCCTAAACTCAAAATTCCAGAACCGTGTACCTACGGAAGGGCACGCGATGCAAAAGAAGTTAAGAACTTCTTATTTGATATGGAACAATACTTTCTTGTGGCTTCAATCGAAAATGAAGCAAGAAAGGTTACAACATCTACCATGTATCTTGGTGGAGATGCAAAACTATGGTGGCGGACAAAGTATGTTGATATTCAGGTCAACAGGGTCCGAATAGATTTTTGGGATCTCAGATGTCAGTTTTTCCCAGAAAATGTGGAATATCAAGCACGACGGACACTACGAGAACTGCAATATGAAAGTCTTTTCAGGACATATACTTTCATCAGAGAGTATGTGAAAGTCTTTTCAGGACATATACTGAATATTCGAGATATGTCGGAAAATGATAAGCTATTCACCTTNTGGAGTATGTAAAAGCTTTTTCAGGATATATGCTGAATATTTGAGATATGTCGAAGAATGATAAGCTATTCACCTTCATGGAAGGGTTGAAACCGTGGACACGCACGAAACTTCGGAGACAGAAGGTTACTGATTTGAGCGCGGCCATAGGAGCTGTCGAATGTTTAAGTGACTATCAATCGGAATCGAGAAAAGATCTACCTTCGGGGAATAGTCAAGCCATTGAAGGTGGAAACAGACATTACAGACCCAACTCGAACTAAAATGGGGAAGAGATCCTCAATTTACTGGCATATTTTGGACCGAGTTGTTCAAACTTCTTGGTTCAACTTTGAGCATGGGTTCTAGTTTCCATCCACAATCTGACGGACAGACGGAGCGCTTCAACTCTATGCGGGAAGAATATATTCGGCACTTTATCTCTACTTCGCAGAAAAATCGGGTGAAATTTTTGGATGCGACTCAGATGTGTTTCAATGCCCAAAAGAGCTCTTCCACCAATAAGAGGCCTTTTGAGATTGCTACTGGCCAGCAACCGCTACTCCCTCATACTGTGGACATCGATCAAAGTACCA